GCTCTGTATGACTACTTAAACAGTCAGCAGGATCTGAGCATTTGCCAGCATTTACCAAGAAAAGAAAGTGCATGGTGAAGGCCCCACTTGGGCAGTGCAGTGTCTATTTGAAGGGGAGGTCTGTATGTAAGCTGGAGTAAATCCAGGAAGCCTCGAGAGGGAGTCACAGAAGAGGAGACAACGTCTGAACTGAGCTTTCTGCACTGCGCGGGTACAAAGGGAGGACGTTCCTCTGGGAAATTCTTTTTCACTTCTGCAGATCTTGGCCTGATCCAAACTCTATCTTAAAGAAATCTTTCAAGCCCACTACTAAGCAATAAAAGTTCCTGTTTTAAGACATGTGTAATGCCTGTAATTGAGTGCTAACAAAAATTATCTTGTTTGTGAAAGAGAAAAGCTGTTTGCTTCTCCAACCTCTCTTTGAACTCCCATGGTCCTACAGAGTCACCTGATTCCTAGCCTGTCAACACTGCCCCAGTCCCATGCAATCTCAGGAGCCTTGTCACTATACAGTCAAAGAAGACACACCTCTATTCAGGGGTCTTCTCTAGACAGGCTTGTCCTAGGTGTTTATTTTAAGAGCAACTCAAATCTTGGATCCAAGCACTGGATAGGTGGCTTTGTCACTATGAAGACCCCTGAGAGAAGAAAGGTTTGAAGAATGGCAGTACCAGTCAGGACCAGAAGCCATATTAGCTGGGGGTCCCTGTTCTTCCACTGGGCCAGCATGTGGACCAGGCATGGCACATGGACAAGTTATAGATGGGTTGTGATGGAACCCCATGGCCCCGACACATGAGGCCAATAATTATGGCAGGACGAGTCTAGAGCAGAAGGTGGTATGCTGGGACTGCAGACCTCTCCCAAGAGCTTTGACTCACTCACAGGAGGAGTAGCAAGTGTGAGGCATGGGGTATGAGCTCTAATCTCTGTTATTTTGGACTAGAGCAGTCACCATTAGGTACCATTGTTTGTGAGCAATACCATCCTTTGGGTTTTAAGAAGAACATGCAAGCTGGACTTTTACACAAATTTGTTCACAGTCTGCAACTCTTGACACATCCTCTACCCTGGATTTATGAGCTTCCATCCAATACACCCTGCAATAGGGGACATTGGTAATGTGCCTTCTATGTATCTTTCATCAGTTAGGGAAGTCCTCAGGAGTGTCTCTCGACATTTGGACGTTTCTTCTCCAGTGAACTCCCTGGAACCTGCATGGTGTGTCTTCTGTCCCACTCCAAGTAGCTGCTGGAGGATGAGGAGGATGAGCCAAGACCAAAGCCTGGGTTCCAACCCCATTCTGCCACTCCATATCTGGTGACTCTCACCAAACCTCTTATTCTTCCTCTGTAATGACACCTGCCTGTTACTGATAGCAGAATGGCTGAAGTGAAGAGCTGATATATTGGAGCATTTAGGTCAATCATGCTGGTTCAAGTTAAGCACCTGCTGGACTTTGCCTACTTATTATGCAGGTTTTCCTCATTTTTCTACCCACCCACCCCTCTATCTATTAACTTTTAGTGCTGGGATTAAACTCAGTGATTCATATACACCAGGCATGGTCCCAACCACTGAGCAACACTCATGACTCTCCTCATTATTAAGGGCATGTTGGATAGAAATCACAGGCTAAGAACTAAAGGCTCTAAGCGCAGATATGGCACTGTCCCTCTTCAGCCAGGAGTTATCAGCTATGTGATGTTTGCCTAACTGTGCCATGGGACAGGAAGTACACATTCCTTGTAAGATAACTGGTCAGATGACATGGTTCAGACATACTAAACAGCATGGGGCTAGGCCACACCATGCCCAGGTGTGCCAGCTAGGATTTTGTTTTGCTTTTAGTCAACCTGATACAAGCTACAGTCATCTGAGAGGAGGGAGCCACCATTGAGAAAATGCTTACATAAAACTGGCACATAGGCAAGCCTGTAGGGCACTCTCTTGATTAATGATTGATGTGGAAGGCCCCGGCCCATTGTGGGCGATGCCATCCCTGGGCAAGAGGTGCTGCATGGTATAAGAAAGCAGGCTGGGGAAGCCAATGAGCAACATCCTCCAAGGTCTATGCTTCAGTTCCTGCTCCCACATTCCTGCCTTGAGTCTCTGCATGACATCCCTCATGACAGAGTATGACCTGAGAGTTGTAAGCTGAAATAAACCCTTTCTCCCCAAGTTGGTTTTGGCCACGGTATTTATCACAGCAATAGAAACCCCAAGATATCTGGTCAATGTTAGGATGAAGATGCGCTCACTCGAGTTTCTGATGCTGTTCTCACAATTGTTAACAAGCAGCCCAAGTGAAATAAGGCCTGAGCTAGGATCAAAAGGCCATGCCCCATTAACTTCCAGAAATGCAAGCTTCCAGATACATAGACTTTGGAGGAAGGTGTGTGGGTCCACTCTTAAGCAACAGTCTCACAGGTATTTCTAAATTCTTCAGGGCTTCTACCACAGTTCTCTTCTATCTAGAAGGCCAAAATAGCAGAAGGCACTAGTTTTAGCAGACTAGAGCTTGGCCAATCAACATCTCTCCAGACCTACCTGGTTCTACAGAAATGCCAGTACATGGTTCTCTACCCAGCATTAAAACAGAGGGGTGGGAGGTTTCATGTAACACAATTCTGGCCCATGAGAAGTAACTAGTGCCTTGAAGACATCTTTGAGGTGTTTTCTTTTTGAGACATGGTCTCATAAAGTCCAGAATGGCCTTAAATTTACTATGGTGGATGACCTTGAACACCATTTGTGCTCCTCTGTCTCCTCAGTGTGAGAACTACAGGCCTGTTCCACCACACCCAGATTCCCCCAAAGTCTTCTAATAAACTCCCTTAGACATTCAGACACTTGGGGTACCTAAACTTCAACTAGACATGAGACCCTTATTTTGAGAAAATATGATGGGCACTATTGATCACTTGCTTCTTCCATAGAATCCATACACTGCACATGCACTGTCCATATCCTACCAGGGCTGCTGATGGCTCAGTGGAGAGCGAGTAAGGCACCCACTACGAAGAGCATATAGACCTCATGCGGTTCTAAAGCTGTTGCTAAGAGTTCTCACGTCATTTCGTTCTCACGCCACTTACATGTAGCTTCCATGTGCCCTCCAAAAGACAGACTGGATCACATGAGTGACACCCTCAATGAGTCTACTCCCCCACCTAGACACAGAGTCAATCAGTCACCTTTATCACAGCAGTGCTACTACTTTGTCATAACAATGCTGCTCACTGATACAGCTGACAAACTATTTCTTAGTTACCTGGTGAACAGGCTTAGAAAGATGATGGAAAATACAATTCTCCGGCAGACAACATAGCCACCTTGTGATGTGTATGTGTTCGTGAAGGCATGTGTATGTGTGGAGGCCAGAAGTCAACGTTAAGCATGTCCCATGATTGTGTTTCACCTTACTCTTGACCATGAAACCCAGAGCTCATGAATTTGGTTAAGCTAGTGGCCAATGAGTTCCAAGGTTCTGCTTGTCTTCAAGCCCCCAAAAGTGTCAGGGTTACAGACATGCATCATGGTACGTGACATTTTTGCATGGGTTCTGGGGATCCGAACTCAGGTCTTCAAGCTTACTTGGCAGGCACTTGAATAACTGAGCCACCTTACCAGCCCCTGTATGCACTCACATTCACAGAAATTCTTTAATGTAAAGGGGGAGACAACAAAGTTGGTTTGGACATTTCCCTTTCTTTCTTTTCCTTGCTACAACAGGAAGCAATGGATAGAGTCATCCAGACAATGAGGCTACAAGCCTGAAGACAAGACCAAGGCAAGATAGGAAGCGAATCCAACGTTACAGTCCCTAGATGGTCTCTACACCACCCACAGGCTTCTCTGTACATAGCAAATGCCAAGGGGGTCTGACAAGAGGGGTGTGGTCTTTCCTGCCAATCATAAGACCTTGAAAAAAAACTCCAGCCAGCCAGGGAACTATAATCACCTGCTGTGATCTAATGCAAACTGACTTGAACCAGTTGGAACCGGTAAAAATACACCTAAAGCCACAAGTGAATTGCTGGGAAAAACCCATTTGAGCCTATTTGCATTGAGCAACATGGAGTCTTGTCTACTTGGGTTTTAAACATGAGTTCTCACAGATAAAACTAATTTTCTTCCAAATTAAGTAGGTTATAGCAGTCAACATAGTGAACTGGTTGGAACTGGTTAAGCCTGGTTCAAATTCATCCTTAAAGGAGAACTTGGAGGCTTCTGTTATTTGCCATAAATGCAAAGCAGAACGGCAAAGGTTTAAAGCCATTTGTTTCTGAAGATCCATTTGCTTTCTCCTATAAATATTCATAAGAATTAATTATCAGCTTATTGAAAGAATTAATAAAACTCACATTGTTTATTATAACACATCAGAGGCAAGAAACATTCTCCTGGCTGAGAAAAGTCCTACTTAAGAGGTTCTTTCCTCTGATATTGGACCCAACGACACCTGATACCTGTGGCCACTGTAACTCAGCTTCATCAAAAACTGAGTAGGAGTGCCCCCACCCCAAACACTGACACTGAGCCAATCAACCAAGTCTGCTGCTTTGCTGTTTCTGGAATGTGAACATGCACTCCTAATTTTGAAAAGGGTGGGAGGGGGAAAGTCGAAGAGGGTGCAAAAAGGAACAGTCAGCATTTGGATGTCACTATAACCACCCTGATGAAAAGGACACCATAATGACCTGCATAGACAGACACATCTCAATGCATTGATCCAGCCCTCCATGTCATCTGTAATGCAGCTAGTGAGGGTAGAACACAAGAATGGTGCTTGCTGTTCACTGCATTGAATCAGGCAGAGGAGCTGAAAGCCCCTCTCCCAAGTAGACTAATGCAAAGCCCCAAGAGCCTGCGGGCATCTTGTTGGAAACTGTGCTTTCTAAGGAAGAGTCTCTGGAGGTAGCCCATGCACAAAAGGACCATTTGCTTTTACACAAAGTGTAACTGCCTCCCAAGAGATCAAATTTGAAGTCACTTACCAGCCACAAAGCTTGGAAACGAGGCCACCTTCTTTGTCTGTTGAGAAACAACCAAGAGAATGAAACACAGTAACTGCAAAATATTGACTTATGAGAACTGTCTCAAGATGTGCACCACCTTGGGCTGGAACTGTCTAGCACCATGAATGACTGGTGTTCCCAAGAAATCAGATCCACACAGCAAGCTAGTCTTATATGGGACACAGGATGCTGAGAAAGATTACAGAAGTCCATGAGCCAAGCCTCAAGGACCCCTAGCTTAGCGTGTCATTGGTGGAAGGAGCTTTAAGAGCAGTCACCCCAATAGTTCTCAAACCACTGGGCATGAGAATTTCTTGGGCATGTATGTCTTTAAGACCACAATAAAGGAGATGGGAATCCACCCATTGATGAATATAACTATTTCGACAGGGCTAGTAGACAATCTGGTCTCAACTACCTAGGCTCTAATTTGAATCAGATAATCATGTTATTGGTCACTGGTGGCTCTCAATCAGGATGATTTTTGTCTTCAATGACATATTGGTCAATATCTGGAAACACTTTGTTGTCATAACTGAGGTATAGTAGCTGCTAATATCTAGTGGTTGAGGATGCTCATTGACCACAGGGAAGACCACCAAAAAAATGACAGTCCACCCTAAATGTCAATGACTTTGCTTTTGAGAAATACAATCTACTCTTGAGTTTCTACCAGATCAGGGAGCATCAAGCATCCCCACACCCATAGTGCACTACAGCTGTGAGTTCTCAGGATATGAGAGTCCCTTCCTCCCAGGAGAGGGAACCCACATCTCTTCCTCAGACAGTGGTCCCAGCTGGCTTGATCTGAACTCCCTCCCCCCAGATCCTGGATGGTACAAGAACTAGGAGAGTGAGCTGACCATAACACAGCCAGTAACTCCATCATGAGACCTCTGGTCCAGAACTCTCATCTTTGGAAGAAAATTACCTCTGGGATGTTGTTATTGTCTGAGGGTCCATTGAGATCAGAACGTTGCTGCTTCCTTGGTTGCTCCAAGCCATTGCAAACCTGGAAACCAGAAAGTTATGTTTTTATATAGGAGAAAAGTGAACTCAGATAAAAAATTTTAAATGAGATTCAAACTTATGAAATATACATGTGCCTTTGTATTCATATACATTTATTTAAACTGTTATACAATGAATTTGCAATATCCGAGGTACTAAAGTCACCACCCAAACCAAACAGCTCTGGTGAGCAGCACCTTAAGTCATGGGACTTCCTGGAAGTAACAGCAAGAGGAAGGATTATGACACAATAACAAGTAACAGGAAGTTGCATCATTCACTTTTGAGTGAATCTTCCTGTGTCTAGCTGTATCCAGAGTGTGACTTACTTGGAAGATCCCAGCACATGAGTTCCTGCTTGGACTCCCTTCCTTGAAGGTCTACTCTGCCTCCTGCCTCTACTCATCCCCAAGAAGCCCTCCAGAAAGCAACTACAAAGCAACAAACAGAACCTACCATATATGCTACAGCTGGCGTGGTTTCTAAACTTTGGATGGATGGATGGATGGATGGAGAGAGAGAGAGAAGGAGAGAGAGAGACAGAGAGAGTACTTTGTATCAGATATGGAGAACAGAACACAGGGAGCTGCATTCCCTCCCCAGGTTTGAAACAAGCCAGCCATTAGGCCTTTGGGTAACTTTAGGCTGGAGTTCATGACTTAGCTAGGGGACACAGGATAGGTGTCAACAACTTCCCTATGCCCTCCCCCGGAACTGCTTGATGTGGGGCTACAGTATGGGACAGTCATGAAAAATCAAGGTCTTCCCTGGCACCGCCCCTCCTCCATGTCAACATTTCCTCAATGTAGTCTCAAGTGGGCTGCTCATCACCATGACAACAACATCTTTCCATAAACAGCCACACTTGTTTCCAAAGAGGAAGGAGGGTGGGTTTGTGATGTTTCTCTTCAGGAAAACCCATCTGGTGTTGATCCCTGCCCAGGGGGCTGGAGTGTTAAGGGATCTGGCAGCCTGGGAAGCAGCATTGGAAATTCACATGGTTAGAAGCCTCCTGAATTCAGGGCTCCCTGCTTCTTGGATAAAGATGATACCTAAATCTTATTGGGCATCTTCTTGGTTACAGCAGCCAGCCATATGTCAAAATTAGGCAAGACCAGGGCTCTTCCAAACCACTAGCAGCATCCTCATCATTGCCAGTGGCCAAAACCATCAACCATCCACCAGAGAACAGCGAATGCTAGCACAAAGCTCATAAAGGGAATGAGCTCTCTGGAGGAGCAGCCCCACTGTGGAGTTCTCAGGGTAGCAAGTCAGTGTGTGGTGTGGCACAGACTGGGTGATCATGCTGGAACCCAGGGACAGCTGCTCAGCGCAGAGATAAACACTTTTAACAAAAACACTAATGCCAATAAATCATCTGAATAAATACGCTGGCTCCAGTTGGTGCAAAATAGAGTTTGGCATTTTAAAAGTGCCAATTCTGATTTGTTTGCTTAACTCAACTGAAAACCCAGTAATATAACCCACATTGCTCGAGGTGAACTCACAGCAAACTAACTCACACCCACTCAGCTCACGCCATCTGGAACAACAGCTTTCTCCTGAATGACAGACATGTGAGGAACAGACAACATCAGCTTAGATCTGGAGAAGTCACAGCATCTCACTGTGTCACACCTCCCCCTCCAACACGACCCTGCAACAGACGACTGTGTCCCTGGGGACCATTTCAGACTTTGTTTTTAAAAAGAGCCAACCAGTCCTAATCATCTGCTATCCCTACTAAGATTTCTTCCTCCATTCAACTGGAATGGGTCAGGCCAGTTCTTCTGCACAAGGACAGCTCTGAGTGGGGACAAGCCAAAAGCATGACTGCCAGGGTCTATCTCAGGAATGTGGACATGTTCTTTCAAAAGCCCCAAGAATCCAACTTCTGACACATACAGGGCTCAGGAAGGAGACTTTGCTATTTATTATTCGTTTTCTCCATTCCTCTTACTTAGGCCACTACTGTAATATTTACCTTGAAAGAAATGAGACTGGGATAAGGTATTTATTCTTGCAATAATCTCTCCCATAGGGTGATCATCTTTGCATGACACTTAGTAAAAGCATCACAGCAGACACATTAGGAACCACAAGCTGGTTAGAGACTCTGTCTTTTAAAATCTGTAGGTAGGTCTGGGCCATGCACCTCCCACGCCAAGCATTTCATTAAACACATTATGCTGAAAATTATTCATCATCTGCATGAACTTCAGTTTTTCCATTGCATAAAATTTGCCCTCTCAATTATGTGCACATACAGTTCAGTATCACTAAGTGCATTTATAATGTTGGGCAATTATTAGCACCATCTTTTCATCCTGTAAAACTCAAACTCCAGACACAGCTTCAGCTCTCCAATTCAAAGGGCCCTTTTATGGTGTCTGTCAATCTGGCCACCCTTATAGGGACTGAGGGCCCGTGCCTTTTCTCCATTTTAGCTTTGGGCTCTAGGCCTGGCCCTCTGAGACCCTCTCTACTACAGACCAGCATAACTATCCGAACACAGCATCTGCTTATGGCTTGTGGTCTTTCCATAGAGCCTGGTGACCTGCAGGCAGTGGAGGATGGTGAATTGCCACACACTTCACGGCATCATTCCATTTGTTCTAAACTCACCTTTGCTTGCCAACCTTTATGAAGGGACTGTCCTGTCCACAAGTGGACAATCTTGAGTAATGTTTATGTGCTTTGTACTATGTGGGGCACTTCTAATTAAGGACAGGGAGATATGCAATGGGGACCCTACCCTTGACATTCCACCGGCAACATGGAATAACCCAGGGTATGAACAGATTTACAGCGAACAAAAGTTGTCCTTTAGAGTTAGACCTGGGGAGTTGGAGAGGCCAAGTATGACCTGCCACAGGACCAGGACTATTAACTTTTTCCAACTTCAGAGTAAGCAGAACTCTCACTAACTGCTGGTGGGGTTGGGAAATTCTGCTACTGTACAGGTAAGCACTGGTGATCATAAGCTTAGACATTCTGATGCTCCCTATACACTCCACCTTTGTCTCTCTCTCTCTCTCTCTCTCTCTCTCTCTCTCTCTCTCACACACACACACACACACACACACACACACACACACAGAGTCCTCAAAAACCTACACATGCATATTCACAGCACCTTTGACATTAGACGTAGAAGCAACCCAAATGTCCATCAGTGGTTGGAGATAGGCACCACATGTCATGCTCTACTCATCACTTGCAATGTCATTCAGTCCCAAAGGAATGAAGCTCTAAGGCACTGCTCACACAGGTGAGCCCCCAAAGCAGGCTAAGGGATACGCTAGACACAAAGGGTGGCATAGCATAGACAAAAATATCTAGAGTCGATGAATGCATAAAGATAGAAAAAATTCCCATTTTAAGAGGTTAGGGCAAGGGGAGACTGCTTAGGGGTAAGAGGTCTTTCCAGGCAATGGGAATGTGCTGGGACTAGATGGTAGTGATGGCTGCAGAGCATTTATTAAAGACACTGAATGAACACACTTTAAAATAGGCCCAATGTCAAATTTTCTATCACACATGTATTACTACAATTTCAAAATAATGGCAGCTGACAGTGTGCAGCAGTGGTTCAGCTCTTACCTAGCATTGGGATAGATGCATAGCACTGCCAAAACAATGAATGAAATGAAAATAGTAAACAACAACAAAAGGATGAACACCACCCTCTAGATGTCTAAACATCATGCCTTCTTCACAACCCAGGACCCAGTCCAGCTTAGTACTGCCCTGTTGCATGACGGTCGCCCTCTAGCTGCAGCATATAGGCAAAGTAGAAGGGGCAGCCAAGGGAAGGGGAGGGCCACACAGACCTCGCCCCACATATTTATATCTGGCGCACCTGTCTTAGTGTGGAGAGGTCACACTAAGGACCTTCAAGGGGACACAGGAGTTCCACGGCTCAAGGCAATGCACACTGTGTGGCAAGGGAGAATCCTATTTGGTTCTGATCAAGTCTTGAACAAGAATATCTCAACCCCCTACTTCTTAAACCTGTTTTGTGTAGACACTGCTCCTTCCACCGGTTCTGCCGGTTAGCCATGAACAGCTGCAATCTTCCCTCCTGCTAATCCGAAGGCAAGGACAGATTTCAATACTAACAACCCAGTGGGCTCCAAAGCAATCACTTGCAGTTATCCAAAGCTCAAACCTGAAGTCCTCCCAGGAGCCTGTCCTAGACCATCCTCCGATTTCCCCTAGCTGCCCAGCACTTAGCCTTGTGCACACATTCTGAGGAAACTGACTTGACATCTGAAAGGGGAATGAAACAGAGGTGCCATGTCAAAAAAGAACGGCAATGGCCAATACTAAGTCAATATTAGGCTGCAATTTCCAGGGGGACATCTTCTGTATTTAACTTCTAGCAGTCCCTGTGGGCTGGCATGAGTAGCATGGAATCACTACTGGCAGAGCTGTGTTATTAGAAGAAGAAAATGAGTCCCCAGCTTCAGTCAATATGATTAGTCCTCAATAATAAGCAACTGACTTTAGACTCACAGGGAGTGCCTACTGTACCTGATGCTAAAGCTAAACCCCATGATTCAGAATTTAAAGGACATCTCACCACATAGAACAGTAAAATGATACCAACGATCCAATTAGCTTCTCTCTGCCAAGCTTTGGGGAATGTAAAAATGTAATGTTTGCTTTTCTTGAGCTTGTGGGAAGAGAAAGAGTAGAATTAACAATGTTAGATTTTACAAGATAGGAGAGCCCCAGTTTATGACCAGACTTTTCCTTTTTTTAAATTTTACATTGGTGCAAATGCAACATGCATTCAGGAGGAACTGTACTTTAGATTGTGGATTTGCACCTTCCAGGGGCTGGAAGCATACAATTCAGTCATCTGTCAGGACGCTGGCCAACATAGCAACCCACAGCTCCAGTCAGCTACACAGCTGGGAGCAGAAAACAGCTATCCACAGCATCCCGTGCAGCTAGGCCCTGATGTTGAAAACGGTGGTTGTGCATTTTTTTGCT